TCTCCCAGTAAAATGGTAATAAAAATGCAAAATAAAATCAGAATTAATCATCAATTAGAATGAATTGTGTAAGCTGTGAGGACTGGCACTTGCTACCCTATGTACAGATTTTGCACCAATAAGGTCATTAAACAGAAAAATTATGTGTGCTCAACAATTTTTATGTTACACAGGGTTCTATAGAAAACAAAACAAAACCAGGAAACACACACATATACACACACATACACGGATACATTTATATAGCGAGAAGGAATATAACAGATAATTAGTCAACACAGCAGTAGAGAGGGCTCAGTTCAGCTCACTTTTGTGTAACAGTTAATATACTGAAAGTCCTTCAACTCATAGAGGCTGCTGGTCTAAGGTCAAGAAACTAGTAAACAGCTGAGTCTGCCCTCAAGCAAGACAAGCAGGGTAAGGCAGCAACAGTCAGAGCTCATAGCTTGGGACCTTAGCAAAGCAAGCCCAGATAGAATTTCAAGCTCTAGTGATGCATGCACAGCAACACAATCCACAGGTTGGCTTGGCCCACGGGCAGTGCAGGACATGGTTGAGGCAAGGGAGTAGCTCAAGCATCAGCACACTGGTCCCATCACCAGGGAGAAAGTGAGATGTGGGGCTGGCCTTGGAATGCATTTATCTCAGTTGCCCTCCAGTCAAGATGTGGCCTGACTAACTACATGCTCCCACAGAGGCTTAATTAGTTGACGCAATAAACCTATCACAATTTTCATCATAGAATTTTTAGACAATTAAAATTCAAAAACTCAACACCTACTTTCATCTGTAAATTAAATGATTCCTCCTGTGATAGTTAAGTCTTATGTCAAATTTGCTGGGGCATGATTCTCTCATGATGTGATTTAACATAATGTAATCAACTCCATGATGAAATCTTCTGTGATTAGCTGATCAACATTGCTAACCCCTGAATCAGCTCACAGTCTTGATATAATTTAAAAGAGGTTTCATCAGCAGGAGGGAGACGGGTGGGCTATTCTTATATTGTTGACACTTTGGGGAAGCTAGCTCTTGCTGGTCAGTATCTTGCATCTGGCTCATCGACTCTGGGAACTATTAGAAGCCTGTCATATTGCCTGTTGACCTTCACTTCATTTGAATCTGGCTATATTCATCCCTGGTTTGCTTATCTACAGAAACCAGTCTAAGGCACCCATCTTTGTTTACTGGCATGGCAAGATGTTTATAACAGGTTGCGGGGAAAAGACAATGCTCAATCTCATCCTACTAAAGAATGGGTACAACATGAGAGAAGCATCTAGTGGGATATCCCGGTTCACAGCGGTTATCTCACATGATTCCTACTTTATACTTTTATCTTTTGTTTATTTTTTTTAAAACAAAGTTTTGTATAACTTTACAAAAACAATAAAGTTTCTCCATGCAAAAGTAAGCCTCCAATTATATTTAGTGCTTGCTGAATGGTGTAAGTTTTTCAGCTTTTCATTCAACTTCTTGTTGGTCTGACAGTTACTTCTATTCACAGAACTCTATCTTTTTGACCCACCAAGGCATACACACAAATGCACACACCCCTCCACATCTGAAATGCCCTTCTGCTGAACTTTAATGCAACTTGAAGACTCAAATCAAATGCTATTCACACGAGAAGTCGCTCTATCTTAGATTGATAGTGGTGGCAACTTCTCTTCTTTGAACTGTGCTTTACCCTGTTCCGCATATTTTATGGCTGTGTTGTAGGTGAGCACCTTCACAGGAGAGCACTTCTTCCTCCACAGAGCTACACAACACCTAACCGATGGCAGCTGCTCACAAATGTTCCCTTTGACTGAAATCACTACATGTCACAAATGTTTAAACAAATGGAAAACATACCTCCAGACAAAAGAGCAAAAGGGTCATTGAATACACAGCGGCTAGCATTTTCCCGA